TTTAACTTTGAGCTTATCATATATAATGGAAGTAGAAGGAACGGATTTTGATCCCCTTACCGAAGAAGGTCAAGTAGACATTAACGACGATGAGTACGAATCCCTGCTGCCGGAAGCGGATAAGCCGGGCTTCTTTGAAAAGCTACGTCGCAAGTACGGTTCAAAAGCCCGCGGCGCCTTACGCAGCCTTACGGACAGGTTCAAAAGGGAAAACCCCGACAAATCCCTTCCATCTTACATGCGAATGGACGACTTAGGACCGGCCCCCGAAGCTCCTAGCTCCGAGTGGTTGCGAAAAGTACAAGCGGAAATGGATGAATCCATGGAAGAGCCGCCAGACGACTTTGAAAGGCTTAGGGAGCTATTACCCGAGTGGATGCCAGAAAAAGCGCAGCTAATGTTTGAAGAAGACGAATACGGTAGGGAACTAATCATGGGTAGGCTTGCTAGAAGCGGCGCTAAGGTCTACGTCATCCGCGATGGAAAAGGAAGGTTCTTTGCTGACCCCCGAATTCCTCCAACTTTAATGGCAGCTATTGGCGAAACGGTACCCGAAAAGCTACTTACCGATGTACGTAAGAGATATCCTAAAGCCAGTTCGACTCTTTTAGAATTCCAAAAAGGTCCTAAGGGGCAAATTCAAATACGTTATGTAGGCAGAGAAAAGTGGTACGACTTTTATCAAAGCAAAAAGTCTAACGCACTTAACAATGCCTTACCGAAGGAAATAACGACAGCGCTAGGCAGGCCCGACTTATCCATGCTGTCCAGCTTAACTAGTAAGGAAACTATGAGGCTACAGGAGGAATTCCTTAAAGGCATTAAGACCCCCARGGCTACCAGTCAAATGCATGCCATCGCTGGAATTCTGGATAGGGATCAAGGAAAGCTCGCAAAAATACGAGCTACCAAGGAAAACGTAGAGGAAAAGCTAACGAGTACGCCGTCGGGCAGCAGCGCTGCCTTGCAGCTGCAGCAGTCTTTAGAATCCCTCAACATGGAAGAAAAAACGCAGCAAGAACTCATAAACAAACATAGGGAACAACTTGACGAACTTACTGGGCAATTAGATGAAAAAAGCGCCGAATTGCAGCAGCAGGCGGAACACATTGAAGAATTAAAAAGAGTGATGGATGCTAGGGAAGTGGAGTACATGAAATTGAGACAACATTCGTACGACATTCACGAAACGGAAAACTTAGATAATAAAAGACGCATAGAAAAGCTGCAGCATGAAAGGGACGATGCTAGAAATAACTTTGACCGCGCAGTTAGAGACATCGGAGATAGGAACGCTGAACTTAGACGCGTGGGTGCGGAGCTGGAAGCCTCGGTAATGCAAGAGCGGCGGTTAAACACGGAAATCATCGTTAAGGAGGAGCAATTAAGACAAAGAGAGCAAGCCATAGAGGACCTGGCTTTTGTTAGAATATATTTAGGTTTTGACAGGGTGAGGCAGCTTTTACTCACTCACCAGTTTGAATAGAAGCGTCTGCGACGTTGCGATTGGGCTTCTTCAGCGAACCAAATTCATAATGGGAATCTTAAAAGAAAAATCAAAATAACAAAGTAAGAAGAACAGGCAAGGGCTTATCATTAAGGCAGGTGACAGGTTGATTTACTATCCAGTATTGGGATGTTGTGATGGAGAGGAACATTCAGGGGAAGGTCAATGTTACCTAAGTTCTTCATTCCAAAAACCTTGGCCAATAATCTCTTATTAAGTTTRAACTGCTCCAAAATCTAGAAATAAACAACAACTGTTAGGTCGCATGAACTTATTGTGACATTTTACAAACTGTTATGCTTACCACG